CTTTCAAACAGGGACATTTTTGGACGAGTGCCCCTGCTACCTCCTCTATTTGGAGATTTTGTGGATATGCCGTATACTGGAAAATGTCCTCGGCTAGCTTCTCCAAGATGTCCGATTTCAGCCCTGGTGTGATCTGCAGTCGAGTGCCAGTTTCTCTGAAGCTCTCATTTCCACGTCGAAGCTGCACCTCTACATTGTATGGAAAGAGAGGAATGGGGAATTTGCGTGGCCATGCACGTGTTCTCAGTTCAGTGTCTGTACGTGGCAGAATAATGGTGCTATCCGAGTTTGTTGAGGATAATGACGACACACTGGAAGATGTTTGCCTGCTTACTGGTGCTCCAGATGATCCAGGAGTGCTGGGAGCATTCTGCACTGAAGAAGATGGACTCGAACCCACATCATCAAGTATGTACACCACCTTGATCGTACTTCGGTCCTATATGTCTTGTACTGATGTAACATTCATGAAATCATTATTGAAGTCAGGATCCATGAACTGAATACGAAAGTCTCTTTCAATTCCAAATGCTTGGCAAATTGTATCGTGTAACTCTGTCAGAGTTTTTGGCATTCCTGAATGGAGATCAAGTCTTCTACAGTCATCCGTGTCCACAATGACCCTCAACTTCAGATGTCGTGCCATTCTTCAATCTAATTGTTAAAAGACACAAAACAACATGTTGTTAAATAAATATTTGACAATGTTGTTACTTAAGTATACACTTTTATTATGAACAAAGTTAGAGTAGGTAAGTTTAATTAACATGCACATTTCTATAATACATGGCAACATGAGGGTAATTTAGCTAAGGAAGACGTCAGAGGACTGGATACCTTCCATAAAAAAATTCCCACAAGGATTATAGTTTCAATTTGACTAAAAACGAAATTAATCCTCCTGTAAAGCAACCCTCTTGTTACCATATTTAGTGTCTTAATGTCAACTCATGCAACACATGAACACAACACAAATGACTGTCCTAACCTTTTATGTGTATGAATCGTTTAAGTGTCACCATTCGCCGTCCTCCAATCCTGTAATCTGCCAAGGGGTACTGGTCTACCAAGGCGCCAAGTTGAATGAGAGAGACTTGTGACGTGGGACATAACTCAAATGCCCTAAAATGCTCCCTATACCAAGCACTCAGCTCTTTAACAATAAAGCTCAAGCTCTGTTCCACAACAACCATCTGGATAACTTCTGCAAACTCTGGCAAGCCACCAGCAGAGCCATGAGCAATAACCATACCCTCCCTGTAGTTCACTCCATTAACAGATGCATTCTTTGTGAGCTGAATGTGAGCAATATCAGGGTCTCTCAGCTGTAGGACCTTCTGTACATCCTGATGCAAAATATCAACAGAGACCGTTGAAACAGCTGAGACAGTCAGGCTAGACTTTTCGGTTGTGGCTGACTCCAAATGATATGCCATCATGAACTGATGCTTCACCGCCAGGGACAAGAGTATGTTTTTAAAGCAGCGTGTGTGGCGGACTACCTGCTTAAAAAAACTGTGTTTCGCCTCAAACCTCATTGTCCACATCCCAACTAGTGGGCCAAAAGACCGGATCATCTGTGGATAATGTTCCACAAAATGATGTTTGGGCAAGATCTTTATACCCGGAAACACCTCTTGTAACCTATGTCTATGGTCACAAATCTTGGCTTCAAGGAAAGCAATGGATTGTGTCGTGTGCACTGGTGCAACAACTAGTTCGACGATATCTTTAAGGTCCAAAACGACCTGCCAGGCTGGCTCATCTGGGGGCACCAACTGTCCAACCAAAAATGGAAGCAATCGCAAAAGACTCCAATTTTCGTGAGCATTTCCTCCAATAGTTTTCTTCACCGTGAATGCCCTGGGAATAGCATGAGGACGGTTACTCTTGTCTGTCCACTTGTAAGGGAATTTCTTAATGGACTCATTGAGATTTTCAAGGGTGAAATATCTTTTGGAAATGAACAAATTGAGGCAGTGTGCCAACTCGACTGGTAATATGCCTTCAAAGATGTCATGTGCAATATCTGGAGGGTAGCCAGTACAGACATTGAAATGAGAAAGATGTGCAGAGAAAACACAACTTCTTTTAACACCATAACAATGTTTTTGATTTTCCTGTGCTGATCTGACATGCGTTTCATGCATCTCCTTGCTTCGGAGAGTAAATGCACCTGAACTCACTTCCCTCTCCTGAATTTCAGACTTTTGTGCCACACAAAAACGGCAAATGTACCCACCTGAAAAACTCTCAAGAAATCCAGCTACTCCATGTGCTCCCAAATTGTCAGCTATGACACACTGTATTGTGCCCTTAACACAATCTCCAAGCTGTGCAATAAAAATACCTTGACTTTCCAAAATGACAAGATCCCTCAACAAGGGCTCTAGGACCCTTTCATAGCCATATGTTCGCACATCGTCAGACCTGCAGAGTAAGGCCAAATAAATAGAAGATAACGAAGAATGGCAACCTGGTGGTAAATTGCTGAGAGTCCAATAAACGCCACAGATCTTGTGCTTTTTACGAGATGTGCCAAGCGGATTACAAATCTCAAAGTCATCGACATACAAATTCAGTAACACTCGCAATTCACCTCCTGACAAAAAATGGTTATCCTTGAAAAACAAACCATCTCGAAAAGACTTGTATACCACTTCTTCTCCTCTATCCTCTGATATGAGTTGACTGTCTAATGCTTTGTTAAGAATGTGACCATCAGTGAAAAGCTGCTGCAAAAACTTTAATAGTGGAACATACTGTAGCGTTCTTTTATCTTTCTCATCCAAGATATATTCTATGGGTTCCACAACTTTAAAATTGTGTTTATAGTATTGCTTGCGTTTAAAGGATGTTGCCAAAGGACAACCTTTACCAATAGCCTTGTACACAGGATTAGATGTACACAGAGCAGATGCAAGTTCTTCAATGACCGACTGGTCAACTTGTAGATTGTAACTATTTAGTGTGTCATGGATCACATTTCTTGTACTACACAAAGATGCTGTGCTCAACAAATATTGAAATTCTTCCAGCAATTCATCAACTGCAGCACTTGGCACATGAAAAATATTTTCCAGCTTTAATAACACTGCCGCAATTTTTTGCTCTATTTCTGGCTGATCCTTCGACGTATCTAAATCAACATCATCAAACTGACTTTCATCGCAAATGTCCTCATTGTTTGAAACACCAGGCTCTCCAGTTTCACCTACACAAGTTCCTTGTACAACACCGTCCTTAAAATCTACCAATGAATGCAAGCTGTGCTTCCGTCTTTTGTGTGACTTGAAGGTGCTGTATATGTTGGATTTGTATGCACAGCCTTTAAACATACAAGTGACTGTCTCATTGTTTCTCAGATGATGGCTTATGTGCACAAAATAATCACGTTCTGTTCCGAGTTCACTACAGCCACATAGATGACAGGAAAATGTAGTAAATATGTCAGCAGAGGGCTTTGAGGTATTGGTGTGATTCCTTGACAAGTGTACCAAAAGAGTATTCCAAGCCTTAAAAATGCATGGACAATCAGGATATATACACTTAATATGATGGCCACGCCCAAAATGACTATGTTTTAGTCTGTAATGTTTGAGAATTTGTGATCACTTAGACACTTCAGCGCCACAGTCTTTACACTGCCACATAAACTAGACAAACACCAAAGAGAGAAAAGGGGGGGGGGGGGAATCAAACATTAGTGATGGTGTTTCACAGTCACCTTTGGGTCATGGTGATCTACAAATAATTTGGATCTCTAAGCAGAGTGAACTAAACGAAAATCCTAATAGTTTGCTCAAAACTTGAAGAGTAAGGAATTTGTTTGATAAATTGACTTACCAAAACAACATGAGGTCCCCAAAGAGTAAGGTTCTGTTCTACATCACACCAACATCAGATAGAAAAACCTGCAATAAAAATAAAGATGAGCAGAAATGAAAAATAATAATGGTAAATGAAAAAAGGTAATTGATTGCTAATGATTACTAACTTGTGTTAGGCCAATGACTCAAAATCCTACAAAATTCTTTGTGACAAACAATGTTACGTTTTTCTTTTTAAATAGAGCCTAAATATTACTGGATGTGGTGCACTTTTGCTAAATGTTTAGACAAATTGCCTGTGTTACCACCCTTACATGCTAAACTGTTATTGCACCTTTTAAAAAGGGAGAAGCTTTTCTTTCATTGTACATGTATAATGACATTAAATGATTATATTGTAACGTTCCACAATAGGAGTCGGAAACAGGCCACACACACACACACACACACACACACACACACACACACACACACACACACACACACACACACACACACACACACACACACACACACACACACACACACACACACACACACACACACACACACACACACACACACACACACACACACACACACACACACACACACACACACACACACACTGTTTTGTTTTTACAATTAGGCCAAAGGTAAAGAGAGACATTGATGACCTTGTGTCTTTTGTTAGTATGTGGTTCCATTTTGTCTATGGCCTTGGACGGCTTCACTAAAAGAGTCCACCTCAAGACGGGTAACATTCAAACACACCTCGGAGCGCTTAGTTCTCTCTCCGCCGTGTGTTGAATGCATGTAGCAGCCGCCTGTGTGTAAACTGCCCCGCCCCCTCGCACACAGACGGGGCACGGGGGAGAGAAAGATCTCTCGTCTGGATTGGAAAGATCGAAAATACATCATAGACGCATTTTGTCTTATAGCATATTATATACGGTGTTGGCGAAACTAAGACTACCCCCCCTCCCCCCTAGTTCGGGGGGGAAAGTACTCCGGTCCGGTGTGAAAGCGCTTATAAGACCAAGATATGAACGTTAGCCGCGGTAACATTAACCCCTTGCCGCCAGAGAGTAACGTTACCAAAAGCACCCTTACCAACGTGATTTCATATGTTTAGTTGTGTCCTAATATTACCACAGTGATAAGAATAAAATAAAACATACTTACAGTCGGTCAGGAAGACAGCATGGCCAGTATACAAGCCGGGCAGCGGGGAAGTTGAAGCTACAAAAAAAAAAAGCCATAGGAACAGGCAGTTTAACATTCAACTTGTATTAGCCAACAACTAATAATAAAGTCTAACAAGACAAAGATTGAATTTAACACGTATTTAACTTGAGAGCAGTATTAAGTTATCTTATAATGTTAATGATGCATGTTACACTTCATTTAAATTACTTAAACATTACTACACAACTAAGCTAGGCTAACAGTTAGCTAGCTGCTGTAGGCCTACATTAACGTTTGCTAATGTTAATCTATCAAAAAGCTACCTATTTAAGTATAATATAATACACCCAATGCTATAAATTAGCTAGCCTACTTACTTAAAACGGAGAGCCGTGGAGAATGTTCACCTCACGACAGCGGAGCTATACACAGGCAGTCCTGTCCTTCCGATTCCGAATGGAAAATGGAGGGAAAAGTGGCGGTCTGCTTGTGTATGCACATGCGCAGACAGGACAGTATTATGTGGTAATTAAATGGTACATAATTTTTTCTAATTATTTTTAAATGAATGAAATGAACTTGTTTTAAACAGTGACAAAATATGTTAAGATTAATTAAAAAAGATAAGAAGGATGCTATAACACATTCAAATCTATTAAAAAAGGCTAGATTAAAACATGTAACATCTAAAAGGGGTCAGAATCAGTTTTTTCAGTGTATGTCCATGTTGTCTGGGGGAGAAAACATATCAAACCAAGAGATCGTCAGCTTTAATTTTCGCTGTATTAACCATTTCCTGAACATTTGGTGTGTGTGCCTTACCTCCGCTACCGGCATCGCTTCATACAACAGATCTGAGCTGTCCAACTATGACAACACTCCTTGAACATGCGCGCGCTATGTGAGAATCTGCCTTGGAACAAAGTAGCAGTGAAAACATGGTACGGAGTTTCATTGATTTGGGCATTCTCTCAATAAGCAAGTGGAATGGATTTCATTTGATAGTGAAGCACTGACACTTCTGGAGTCTGTCTCATTTTCTGACCTGTTTAATGAATGTGTCAGGTATGAATGTGAAACCATTGATCCCAGTTGAAGATGTATGAATGAGATCATGTTGGCGAGCCAGGAGAGGATTGTTCTCTGAACAGAACCCCGACAGAACAATGTGTAACAATCAGCTTTATTTTAAACCCAGTTACCACTGAAATGATTCAGGAGCCATTGTGGTTCTTAAACCAGGCAAAGAGAGTGTGATGAAAGTGTGTCCTCTAAATAATAAATATCAATAAAAAGCTAGACAAAATCTGAAGCTGGCATCTCAAAGACATTTTATTAGACAAAAAAAACACCTCCAAGAAAGCATTTCTGTTTCTACGGTGGCCGACAGATCCAAACGCCTCAAAACGCTTCCATTTGGAGAAAAGCGCCACAGCTTCAGAAACGATGACAAAAGTGCCAAAATTCTGAGATTTTCAAAAAATTGAAAACGTTTTTGATTTTCTGAAAGTGCAAATTTGGAAATTATTGGAATATTGGAAGAAGAATATTTTCATTTTCAAAAAAGTGAGAATTTTGAGATTTTCAAAAAAAGTGAGAATTTTGAGATTTTCTAAAAAGTGAGAAGTCTGAGATTTTCAGAAAAGTGAGAATTTTCTGATTATTTATTTATTTAAACATCTGAGTGAGCCACTGACACTGACACTATTTATTAATCTAATTTAGTTATTCAAAATCTTGATTCCGCCCGTTATTTCGCCGGCCTTCTCCTCCCGCATTGAACATCGCAGAAACTCTGTTCAAACATCAAAACGTTCAGCTCGGTCGGGAATCGATGGCTATTACTTTTATTATTCATAACTTTCATAATTCCAGAGATACATCCCATAATTCATCACATTTTTAACCATTGAAGTCAATGGAGAAAATCTTCACACTTGAACAATCTTCATGCGACTTCAACTGCTAACTGTTCCTTCATACTTTCACTCAGAAACCTCATTCCAACTTTAAAATGTTACACATCTTTCTGACATTATTCATGTTAAACAACTTTTAAATCAGATTCATACTTTTATAAATATTAAACATTGTTCAGACCTTGGTAAAGAGGCCTTCTTCAGCTTTAACATTGCGCAGCTCGTTAAGGCAGAGTGTGTGATGTCAGAGTTAGAGTGGAGGACAGTTTGAAATTTGCCTTCATATTTTTTTTTAAAACTGCCATAATTCCAAAACCCTACATTCCTGAGACATCATTTTTCATGACAAACGTAGGAAAACATCTCCTAGCTTGAAAAATGACAAATAATGAAGCAAAAATAATTCAACAAAATGCCTCTTGAGGGCATGAAGTGACAAAAACGTTCAACATGTCTCCATTAAAGCCCATTGTAATTTCAGGCAGATATTTCCTCACAGCAGCAGCCGCACACCTTTAGTTAAACTGCCAAAAAGGCCACATTATTAACCCAAAAGTACACAACAATTACACTTCAGATACTCAACTTCCTTGACATGCTTCACGTTTTGAAATCTCACAGATATCTGTTATCGTTCTTCCACAAAACGTGAAGCATGTAAGAGGTTCATCTCTCATTCAGAACAAGGAAACCTTTGATCTCTTCATAGCTCGTTAGCTCAACTATAAACACCTGTGTAATGGAACACGATGATGTCATCACTCCAACTGACAGCAGTCAGTTCTAACTGTTCATTTCATACTCTCACACACACACACACACACACACACACACACACACACACACACACACACACACAGACACACACACATACACACACACACACACGCACACACACACACACACACACACAATACGTTTTTTCAATAAATTGTTGTTTCTGTTGTGTATTTTTTGTACAATTATTTCTCAATAGGGTAAAGCCATTTAAAATGTTTTATTTTTTGGTATGTTAATGCAAATGTGACAATCATTATTTTCGGGCTGCCTCAGTCTTAAAACACAAGATAGATATCAATTTTTGTTATGGTCTTCTGTATATGTCATGAATAATACTGGTACAATTTGAATTTGCCCCAAAACGTGGAAATGCAGACCAGATCTTCTAAATGCCAGGGACCGGAACATCAGGAGCATCTCTAAAAGACGATATGTGACAGTCCTGCAGCAACGGACCATATAAGAAACATTATGTTAAAACCTAGAAACTTATTCTAAACCTACTATCAAAGTATTCACCTGAAATGTAGCACAATTTGGCTCCTGTTAAAAGTACTATTTGAAAATGTAGATTTGTCAGGTCAACATATCATAGACTTATCTGGTTTGCTATAACAGTTTTACTCCCCAGTTGAACTGTATTTGACAATCATTAAATTCACAAACATAATTTGGGAAATAAATCAAAGACAATAGTGTAAATAAGAAAGGTTTAGTTTTTGAAACTTGTAATGGAGACGTTGATACATTAACTGTCAGCAGTATTTATTGTTACTTTGTAATTCTACTCCACCACAATTCAGAGGGTAACCTTAACCTATTTGGCACATCCCTTTCAAGATGTTCTAAGGTTTATTGACATATCATATACACAACTACGGTGTAGTTATGCAATGAATGACAAACCTCGCAGGTTCGTCAACAGTGCATTACAAGAGATCTATCAATATGTTTATACCTCCACCATTAAACTGTCATATTCTGCACATTTCTTATACTATCTACATACATCTTATAAGAGTATAATTAATATGTAATGTCAGTTAAAATAAGAGCTTAAACGTAGTTAACATTGCAGGAAAGTTGATTGTCAAGTCCCAAAACAAATTATGCAGTTGCCAACTCTCACGCATCTGGTGTGTGACACACGCTTTCACTCTCAATCTCACGCTCTCACGCTGCCCAAACTATTCTCACGCCAAAAACAAGATGAACCGGCGATCCTTTTTGGTTGGTTATTTACAATGTTGAGTTGACAGCTGCTCAAGCTGTCAATCCGCTCCCTCCCCGCCCCCACCACTCTTAACAACGTTAACAGACAGCAGAGCAGTGGGAGCCGGTTGGTCAATCCCCGACCCGTATGGCGCATTTTTATTTATCGTACGATAAGTCAATGAATTGCTTATCGCGACAGGCACAATAAAACAGTGGAAACAAACATGTTTGACTTTCATTAGTGAATGAAACTTTGTGCCCTTTATAGTCTGTGTCCAACATTGTGTATTTGCATATATTGTATATATATCCAATATATATGCTAAGGTCCCGCTGCTGACACGATAGCAGTCATTTAGTGCGCATATGTGTAATTAAACCCATGATATCAAAATCTCACTCCAGCCAGGTACCCAAAGTTGGCAACCCTGAATATTAGACTTTAAGTACTTTGTCAGGCTTAATATTTATCTGTAGATTTACCAAAGCTTTTTGCTTACATGTATTTAAAAGACCTTAACTTAAAGTATTATTTAATGTTTTAATAAAGCCTGATTAGTTTGCCTGATTTGCACATCCTCCTATTAATATCTGTGTACATCCGGCACTAAACTTTTATTGTAGAGATCACTTACAGTAGCCTATCTTGTTGATATTTTCTATTCTATATTTCTATCATTGACCTTCTACTTTCCCCCTATTTGTATGTACTCTTAATATTTAAATGTTTTCATCAAATGTAACCCATTCAACAAAACATGCAGCAGAGATTAGCAACACAACCTTACCGGCATTGCAATGACTGTAAACGTGTAATGACGTGCTTTAACCACTAGGTGAATAATACAGACGTATAAAGTACACATGGTATACAATGCTATCAAAAACACATTATGTTAATTTACATATCTAACTACCATTATCAAGCTAAATATGGACTATATGAGGCTAAGGCATTGTACCAGGTGTAGGCTAATTATGTAGGCTAAGTCAAAAACAGGCAACTGATGAGGTGTTTGAAAGGTAATTTATGAGGATCAAACAAATGAGGTACACAGAATACAATGCCATTTTATCTGTTTCATTATTAGTGTAGGACAGATATGTATATATAACACCTGAAGATGTTTTATTCATGTTAGTCATTACTTTTAATACTAGTTGAACATTACATTTTTACATTTGTATGTTTAAAAAAATATATGTTTCTAGTTATTGTGCTTTTTATCATATTTTATTATTGTACTCCCATTGTGTTATTTAATATTGTAGTTATTGCTTGTACAGCACTTTGGTCAACTGAAGGTTGTTTTAAATGTGATATATACAGGATATAGCTATATTATTGCACATATTTTAAAACATCAGACAAAAAGGTGTATCTGCCCCCTCATGGTGCTAATCAGTATGTGTGTTTGCTAAACAGAGATACAAACAGAACATGAGTGAACAGTCAAAACAATTTTTATCAACTTTATTGTTATGGGACCTTGTTTACATAGTGTTTCAGAGTAGACATGTAATAACATCTGAATAAAATGAAATTATAGAAAATGCCTTCAACAACATATCAACAACCGGAAGAATAACTTACTGGACATACATATTAAGACATTAAGAAATGTGTCATTTTTTTTTGTCGGAGGACAATCACTGCGGGTTGAAAGGACCTTCCAGTGGTGGTTCATTTCTGTGACGAGAATCTTCTTCTCCTCCTGTAGTCTCTTCACTGCCATGACAAGGTCGAATGCTCTTCTCTTTGTCCTGAGGTCGAAAGAGTCTGCAAAGCATTTATGAGAAAACATGAATGAATGTGTATGAAAGATCAACATTCAAAGAATCTATGAAGTCTTAAATAGATTTATATATCAGACATGAAGGTTTTCCACATTTGCTGTGAGCATTCAGCAGACTGGTGTACTTACCACTGTTTGGTAGCTGCCATGGCCAAGCTTTCTCCACAGACAGAATGGCTTCGAGGCACAGCGCTTCTGTGCTTGGAACCATTGAGTTGTATTTCTCAGCTGTGGCTGTCAGGACCCCTTTCTCATCCCTGATCTTGCGGCGGATCCGGGAACGACCTTTGTTGCTGTCTGTGTCTTTGTAGAGACGCTGCGAACGTCTCTTGACACTTACTGTCAGCATTTCGATCTTGCTGGCCAAGGCAGCAGCATCCCTTGGGTTGTTTGTTGTTGCTTTTTAGAGGAAATAGGTGTATTAAGCAGTAATTCACAATAACAGTGACATTTGATCAAATGTTTTAATATTATTTTATTACATATGCTTCATGAAAAATAAGTAATGCAAATGTCAATAGAGGGTTATCACTAATTCTGAAGATTTAAAATAAATTGATAAATCATGACTACAAAAAAGTTGAAAAACGTCATTAAGATTGTCCTCACTTTCTGCCCACTCATTCACATCTGACCCAGTCTTCCAGCTGCTTTTCACTCACTGCCAACTCATTCACATCTCTGACCCAGTCTTCCAGCTGCTTTTCACTCACTGCCCACTCATTCACATCTCTGACCCAGTCTTCCAGCTGCTTTTCACTCACTGCCCACTCATTCACATCTCTGACCCAGTCTTCCAGCTGCTTTTCACTCACTGCCAACTCAGCCTTCATGGACTCCAGGTTCTGCAATTGCTTTTCCAGAGCTTTTGTGGTCTACAAACGTCAAACAATTAAAGACAAGTAAATACAGAAATCTACATTTAGGCTGCAGCCACAAATAATTCTTCTAAAACTATGTTATTACCTTCAGATATCTGCGGGACAGTGAGGTGGCCAAGTTGCTGACTTTTTGCTGATTCCAGCGCATGGCCATCAGCGTCAGCATGTCTGTACGTCCTGCAAAAGAGAATATCACATTATTACTATTCCTCTTACTTCTTATACTGTAACTGGGGTTTATACTATATTGCCATCCTAAATGGTGTGCTATGGTCATAACCGTCAATGAGCTTTTATGAGTTTCTGTTGTTGGTGTAATTTGTTAGTGGAATTTGTGCCTTTCTGAACATATTTTGAAAACTGACAGTAAAGGTTCGTAACTCACCTGCTTTTGACATGTGTTTTGTGGTCACTGCTATCCGAGAGAGGAAGGCATTGACCTGTTCCACCTCCTCCCCTAGGGTTAGTCCAGCCCCCTCTTGATATGCCCCACTCCATTTCACCTGTTTAAAATATATTCAAAAGTACGACTCGTTACAACTTGTCACTATTCACAAGGAGGTTTTTACATAAAGTGATTGTGTCACATGGTAACAATTCCTTACTTCACATTTGAAGTCATGCGCTTTGGCATGAAACACTGAGAGAAAGGGCTTCATGTCGAGAAGATGCTGGAGCTCTGGACAGCTTTTTGTGATTCTCTGGAGGTAGGGCCAATATTTGCAGGTCACATCCATGCAAAAGAACATACTACTGGCCAGCTTTTTCTGTAGGTACAGGGGATAAGCAAAGATTTCTCCCCTGTACATATTGAGAGCACAGAGGAGCACTCCATGTCGACAGACGGCAAGCTCTAGTCCCTCCTCATCCAGCTTGCCGGCTGATTTTTGGGAGGTCTCTCTGGCTGCCGACCACTGTCCTCCACAAACACCTCTTCCGGAGACCTAATATATAAAAATGTATTGATGAAAATGGTGCAAAGACTAACCTAACCAAACCCTTCATTAGGATATTATATTATACATAATTAGAGTCTGCAATATTACATGTTTGGTTGTGGTGTGTATATAGTCCACAAATCTTGAGACGTCTTCATCCCTGGCTATAAAGACACCGTCAAAAATGGCCTGTTCCTCAGATCTAAATAAATCAAAGGAGCAATGTATGACATCTCAGATTATTGATTGATTGATTGGTTCACATCAAGATACTTTTGTTTCGTTATTTGTTCAAATACTGTGACATTATATATTTTCTATAGTACCTAGCTGCATTCTTGAAACGGTAATGCTTGCGGTTTCCATCCACGGAAACTGCAAGCATATCAGGGCTACACGCAGGACAGGTGAAGGGCTCCTCCTTGCACATGATGTCGACCTCATAACGCACAGCCTCCCACTCAAAGAAACTTTTGATGAAGCTGTCAGTTGAGATCTTCCCAGTCTATAACAAAATAAGGACATCAACAGATAATTATGTCAAAAATAAATTATAAGGACACAGCTTACAATTTGTACAATACAAATAGATCAAAAAGGACAAGTAACTTCAATACTCACATGGCCAAAGCGCAACGTTCGCTGATCGAGCATCCTTAAATATGCCTGAAAGGATAGTCCAGGTGCAGCCATTTTCATTTCTTCAAATGAGAAGAAAACATCTGTGGCATAAATGGTGGCGAAGTGAAGGGTAGCTGGCCAGTAGTCACTCCGAAGAAGGTCGTCAACCCCAGTCGTCCATGTCGCAGCGCATGCTTCACAAGCCAACTCTGGCATGCTTAGCTCATGTCGTCCTTGAAAAACAGACAAGGTGTTTTTAATACATTTGGTATTCTTTACTCAATACCCATGTTAAGGTTTAATAGACAAGCTATCCCACATGTCTTTGAGAAGGGTTGGATATTATCAAGAAGAAACTTCAATAACATCTATCTTAAGAAACAAGACAAACATTCTTCCGATTCTTACCATTCATTGTGATCACAGTCACAGTCTTTCCTGGCTTGAGGCTCAATGACTCTGATGCACAACCACAGATTTTGTCCGGGATCTCCACAGGTACAAACCGCACTGGAAAAAAATTCAAATGGGAATTAAAAATAATTTGTCTCTTTTGAAAAATACTACATTGTTATGTGACATATTTAGGATTTAACTTTACATCAGAACATTAAAAAGAGACTTAAGCACACTGCTGGGAATTAACACAGAGATGTTGAGGAAGCTCACATTTTCAAAATGAAATTCTCAACAAGTCCAGCAAGAAAATGTACATTCACAAACCAGAACTTTGAAAGCTGTAACTACTGTGTTCTTAATTCTAGCAAATTATGAAGTTTAGAAATGAAGTACGTATCACATAAAGATACAAGTATGAATATGTGTTTCGGGCTAACCAGACCAAATGAAGTACATACCAACAGTCTCTGGAGCGATAGCTGGAGCAAAGATCAGATCACAGTCAGGAGCAGCAACGGGGGGATCAGTGTTACGACTGCAGCCAGCTGTATCAGAAAAAACATTTATTTTATACCATTAAATTGTACTACTTTTCCCTTATCAAGAGTTATGTTTTCATTCATTTCATATACTCAAGTGCCTAGAAATATATATCTTATACTGACCCTGATTGGAGACATTCCGGGTTGAACGTGGTCTTGCAAAGATCAAGTTTCCCTCACTGTCTCTCTTCTTCCAGCACATCATTGACACTGCTGGCACTGCTGTTGCTGCTGCTGCTGCTGTTGCTGCTGCTGCTGTTGCTGCTGCTGCTGTTGTTGCTGCTGCTGCTGCTGCTGCTTCCACTTTACAAAGCAAATCATCAGCACTCCGTAGGTCATCCCTTAACTCTTTCTGCTCAACCAGCTCATCTGCGCTTCTCAGGAGATCCTCAAGATCAGAATCACTCATTATAGTGAAGAGACACAGACAGAGACACAGAAGAAAGACTGACAACAGAGTTAGACAGAGAAATAAATAGAGAGATAGGAAGAGACTATCAAGTACAACACAGCAAGGACAGTTTAACAAGACAGACTTGGCTCTTAAAAGTGCCTTTGGGTTGTTTGGAGTTTGGAAAAACAAAGGGTTGTTTTTTGGAGAACAAATTGCAGGATCTGTTGAGAGAAAACAACATAATTTAGAAACTCAAAAATAAACAAACAATGGCAGTGTAATTGTTGTTGTTTACAATTTTCTACTTGGCTAATAACCAATTAATGCTTACTACTGTTGTCATTAAAGGTATATTCACATCATCGCACAGCAAAATCACTGCCACCAGTCATTTAAATAAGTAATTTGTACAAAAATTATAAAAGTATTATTACTATTAATACTAAAAACACATGTATACAAAGTATTATCAATAGATTTACGATTCGAAAATTATAAAAGCAGAGTAGACATGTGGAGATTATCCGGCTGAACAAAACGTGATCCGTCTCTTAAATGTGTGTCAACCACAGACCTTATTTCGAGCTATTTTCCAAAATCCTATGGAGAAATTGCAGTGCGTTTTCTAGCTAGCTAGTTAGCTAGCTCAGGCGAGTTCATTTGTTATATTTAGGTAATACCCTAGTAGACATGTGGAGATTATCCGGCTGAACAAAACGTGATCCGTCTCTTAAATGTGTGTCAACCACAGACCTTATTTCGAGCTATTTTCCAAAATTCTATGGAGAAATTGCAGTGCGTGTTCTAGCTAGCTAGCTAGCAAGCTAGCTCAGGCGAGTTCATTTGTTATATTTAGGTAATACCCTATATTATTTAGTTACTATACCCCTCAGAAAGGTGCCAGAAGCAACATTGGCGCCGATTAGATTATTATTATTATTATTCGTGGCTAAGTTTATTTCCTATAACTATGTGTTACCCATGCTCTTACCTTGATTCTGAAGAACTGCGACTCTCTCATCTAGGTTTGGTCACGTAAAGTGCAAAGGTATGCCGTCTTTACGACGGTACCTGTGGATTGTGGGTAATGTAATCGCAAAGCGGACAGAAGTCGTCACAACAATAGCTGGGGATTGTGGGTAGTGTAGTGTCTTCGGCCATCCAAAACTCAAAACTACTTGTTTCTCAGAATTGAAGGGGAAAACGTGACAAAAGCATTGTACACTAAAACCTATCAATGTCATTTCATTAACAAGGATAATCTGGTGGTTTTTAGTTAATGAGTAGTGCAGATATCACCTATTTATGTTTCATCCAATCACAGAGCTTGTTGACTTATCACGAGGTTTTGTCGCAAAGCGGACAGAAGTCGTCACAACAATAGCTGGGGATTGTGGGTAGTGTAGTCTCTTTGGCGCTCCACATTTCAGAGAAAACAAGTTGTCTCAGAATTGTAGGGGAAAAACACAAAAGCATTGTACACAATTTAAACCTATCAATGTCGTTTAATTAACAAAGGTAATCTGGTCTTTTTGAGTGGATGAGTAATGGAGATATCACTGTCAAATCAATCGACAGTAAGGAGAATACTTACTTCCGGGTGTACAATTCTCCGTTATCCAATGGGAATGGACGCTCACATTGCCTTTAACAGCTGCCGACACAAACGAATGCCGTGCTTCCCTAAGCGTCAAATACCGCCGCCGATGGGAATACATTGCAATCAGTTGAAAGCTCTTTGCATCCGTTTATGACGCTGAAGGAGCCTCGGCGCGTCACAACTGGACGCCACGGAATTCTGACCAAGCGTCGCTCCTGGACGCGTTGGGAGTGAGAGTGTGTTGGGAAATCTCAATGCCAAGCTTTTATTCTGAAAATCCTTCATATCCGGTTAGCAGTTAGCATGTGGCTAATAATGTGTTTTCTGAATGTAAAGTGAAAATGACTTGGAGTGTTACACACCAAAACGTACGGACTTTAACACTACATCTATAGACGTCGAGATATTATTACTGCTGAATATTAAATGAAGGTACAGTTGATCGTAGAGTGTTTCCACATACGTGAGTAGCTATGACGTCAGAGGGAGTTACCGTAAATGAGAACTGTGCCGTAGCGGTGTTTCTAGGACTTCTAAACTAACGATTACAGCTGTTTATAAGGTATTAAATAGAAAGTCATCACAGAGATAAGGAGGAGAAAAGGCTTAAGGAAGTAGGCAGGGAATACAGAATGTCGAAATCATCTGTTCTCACGCGATATCGAACATTGAAATATGAGAAGGGCGGTCCCACTATCTGCACAGCGGGAGAGAAGGAGAAGAGGATTAAAGAGATGAGAGAGGACAACCCGGTCTCTTTTCTACGCTGCAGCTCCCTGGAGACATCACCGGCTTTGTCTCTTCCTTACCTATGCTTGTTCTTTAACCACGTTACTTAATTAAAGTACCCATTTGAACCTTTTCAGAGACTCCATTAGTCTCATTATTTTAAGTTTCTTTCCTGGGAGCGAGAAGATCACGATTTATCAACAAGTGCCGCTTTGTTCATCTTTAGTTGTGTTGTTCTCACTGTTCTGTATATCGCCAATAAATCAATCGCACGTGTGACGGAGAATGGGGGGGGGGGGCGGGGTCGGTGTGTAGCAGGCTGCAGCAGGCAGCAGTAGCCTATGAGGTGTGATTTGTGCCAAAGAACAGATAACTAAGCTAACTGAGCGGAGAACTGACGTGTCAACGTGCGCCAACGCCTCCATCAATTTTGAATGGGTTGACGTAGAATACAGGCGACGTCACGACGATGTCAGACGTCAGACGTCACGGCGACGTACCATAGGTGCGCTCAAAGTACGCGCTCAAAGTACGCGCTCAAAGTACGCGCTCAAAGTACGCGCTCACGTAGTGGCGGCGTAGCTTAGAAAGCGCTATCTTAGATATGCGTGTTGATAACGTACGTGTGGATAAGCGCGTGAATAACGTACGTGTCGCCTCCGTTAGCATTGTATAGCATTATCCTATATTATATTTTTCGAATGATTCCGCTCCTACAGTAGTTTGGAGAGTGTTACAGGTACACTTTCTCATCGGCACAGTATTGGTATCAGAAGAGAGGGGAATAATAATTAATAATCATTAGTATGAGAATATTTGCTGGTGTTGTACTCGAGACCGGTCTCCAGCCACTTTTTAACGGTATTGGTCTCGGAATTGACTGCATTTGGTT